TCGTTCTAGACACCCTCAAAAATAAAAATATATACTTTCTTACTACGTTTATTTATATGTAGGATAATAATAAAAATAGTATACATATAAGATATACACAGTCTTACATTTTTATTAGTCATGTTTTTTCCGTTTGTGGGAGTTAAAGAATATGTCTAATGTCGATCGCCTTTATCTCTTCGAAATTTTTCGTAAGTAATTAATAGCATTGCAATTGTAGAAATCCCCGAGCCTCAACTTGGTTTGGATGCCATTCTAAGACCGTTGTTCTGACATCCTAGGATCTTTAATAACAGATATCGGCATTAATTCTCTTTTTCAGAAGAAAACATATCTCCACGAGTTTCTTGGTGTTCTTCATTCAAGAGTTCTTGGCGTTCTTCTGTCGTCAGATCCGTTTCGGGTTCCATTATGAACTCTTCGATATTCTTTATTTTTCAGATGTGATTTTTGTTACTCCTTTAGCTGCTTGAGTCTTTTTGATTATACTGTATCTTTCTTAGATAAGATTGGACTGCGGCCTACTATAGACTTATTCACGCCATACTGCCCAGCAACATTAGGCAACTTCTGCCTACTTCCGAATTTTGCTATAATACTCTCACCTTTCGAAAAGAAAAACAGACGCAAAACTTAACGAGTGCCTACCCGACAGTCCCACGAATTAATAAAAGAATTATTTTGTCAGAAAAATAAAAGGCTTGAATTACAAGAGAGGTTTCAAAGTTCGGAGGAATACTATCCGATCGGTAACTTACCGGCTTGAGCGTCGATGTCGACGTCTCCCGCGCACCGAAAAGTTTCGAATTGTTGCCCGAAGACAAGGGAAGACTAATCGGTATTCATTATTTTACGTCAGTTCTTCTTCTGTTTTTTCTGTGGGGTGTTCGTTATCCGATCATGGATTCGTTGTCCGAACATAAAAATCTTTCGCTAAAGTGTTCGTTATCCGATTTGTTCGTTAACCGATCACCCACTGTATACTGTTTAGAAAAATATATTTTCTTATTTTTCACTTTATATTCTAGTATCTAGTTGTGTTTCTCTTCTCTAAAGCAAGACTGAAATCTTATAGAAAAGTATTTGTCACTCATTTCTAAAGGTTCCGATNCTTTCGCTAAAGTGTTCGTTATCCGATTTGTTCGTTAACCGATCACCCACTGTATACTGTTTAGAAAAATATATTTTCTTATTTTTCACTTTATATTCTAGTATCTAGTTGTGTTTCTCTTCTCTAAAGCAAGACTGAAATCTTATAGAAAAGTATTTTTCACTCATTTCTAAAGGTTCCGATTTAATTGTTTTATAAAACTTCACATCTGTGTTAAATTCTTTCTTGAAATTCTTTAATCAACTTGAAAGTTTCCTTTGTTTCGTTCAAATGTAAAGTCCGAATGTTTCGTTACTAACTCTTCTTTTACTTTTATTTTTACAATTTACGGTACTCTCGTGTGTCAACAATCTGTATTCAATCCAAGAATTATTTAATAAATGTTTATTCGAATTTTAAAGCAAGTAACAAAGAAAGACGGGTAAAGTCATTGCTCTGTTCCCGTTGTAGAACAGTAAACAATACGTGCACCCTCAAGGTTAACGGAAGAAACTCCAGCGATGAGACGTCACCAGCACCGTGATACTTTGTAGCTATAAAATCACGTTATATATTGATAGTTAATAGTATGGTTCTTAACACGCATCTATAAATATTTATAGTAAAAAACTAAAAATGAAATACAGTATATTATCATATTCTTAACATTCTGGTTTACATTATATTACGTACCCTGATAGTTCAATGTTAACTATCTTATAATAAATACTGTAATTAAATTTTTAAAAAAATTAAAAAGCTGAAAAATACAGGTAACCCCCGTATAACACGGCACTGTTATAGCACGGATTCAATCTGACACGGTTCGAGATTTGGGTAAAACCCTCGTACAGCATGAAATGTAATAAATTTTTACATAATTAAGTAATACTAGTTCACGAAAATTATTATTTTCGTAAACTATTAGTACTTGAGTATGTAAATTTTCTTTTCTCGCCTTTTGTCGATACACATGGTCCTTCTCGAAACTTGTTTCAATGTTACCAGATGTTTTTCCCTTATTCCATACTAGCTTTATACTTCATAAGTGCTTAGCACCATATAAGGAAATTTATAAAGACCTTTTAAATAGAAGCTAGCAATCGAAAATAACGTACATTTTGCAAAAGGTAAAGCATGGATCTGAAGATAATGCAGAAAAATGCTCAGAGGATAAGGATAACTTGCTATTTTCTTTTTGGCAAGTTAACCTCGGTTAATAGTGCTTTTAGTAATAACGAAAAAAACATTATTTAATTTATATTAATATGTATCACTTAAATATCTTTATTAAATTTTTTTTATCTTAACTATAAAAATATAATAGTATGTTTTTTTAATTTTTGGAACGTTACTACCGCGTTATACGGGGGGTAACCTGTATATGAAATAAATATAAATAAAAATTATAAATAAACTTAAATTTCATCATATTTTGTGCGAAGAAAACATTGAAATAGTTTCTATAGTTATGTGGCAAAAGAAAAGGGAGTTACAACTAATTAAATTAATCATGCAAATCAAAATGGGTCATACAAATCGATAAAATGTAAAAAATTCAGTCGATAGCAGAAATTTTAGTTTTTAGCATTACTTTTTCAAAGGGCACTGCAAATTGTCCTTTTATTGGTCAATTTACACACTAGTGGGGAACAAAATGGTAGCAACAATCAAGCCTCGTGAACATTTCCCGAAGTTAATGAAATATTTACATTTATCAAACAGATAATAAAAACTTAACGCACTTATCAGAACCAGCCCTGGCCCTTAGTCTCGTTTTTCGTGTTGTACTCGAACTGACGTCATCGAACTCACTCGTGTTACTATAACTCACATAATCGGTAGTCTCGAGTTAGACCCATCAAGCGAACTCGAATAGCGAGCGGAAATACGTCATACTCATTTGGTTGTGTGTGTTGTTAAGCATGATGGGATTATTTACAATGCATCTGGGTATGCGACTATAATGATTCGATCAATCAACTTAACTGTAACAAGTTGTAAACAAATAAACGTGAATTAGTTTACACGTGTTACAGTTAAAAGTTTTGTCTTATAGGAATATAGTACGCAGAAACAAAATGAAAACCTCGAATGTTTTATTTTAAAAAATAAGCGAAAAGAACAAACAGAAATATTAGTAAAATATGTAGAAAATAATAAGAAAATGAAAAGTGTAAAATTCGACAATGAGTTTACAAGAAAAATACAATTCGCTTTGTGGAAAGAATTAGTTGAAAAATTAATTACGTGTGTTGAAGCTAAAAAATCCGTTATGTAATGGAAAATGTATTTTAATTAAATTCTTTCTTTATATAGACCCCCTATAACGCGGTAGATACGTTCTGCTTTATAAGAATTTCGCGTTGTAAAAATCCTTAGATACATGAGCCAATCACAGCCCGGCACGTGTGCAGTTTTCGAACTACGACTATTTGAAAGATTTTCTTCCATAAAATTAATCGATTCTGGACTAATTTCACTCAACATTTCCAAAACACGTATAAATTTTTGGGAATTATCCGTATAAACTATGCTATAAACAAAAAACTGTAGTATTACTTACCGAGTGTGTACCGTTCGACCACGCCATTGCTTACGCTTGTTTTCGTCGCAAAACAGCGCATCATTAATATAAATAAATTTTATGGCCGTTAAATAAAAAATGTTTTTTTTTTCACAAGAAATGTATAAAATTACAGTACTGTATTAGACTTACAGTACCTAATTTATATACTGTACAGACGATAGTAAATTCAACTTACCCGCTTAAACTCTCCGTAACTTGTTAGTAGTTCGGCTGCTCGTCCACTATTGGTAGAGATTCGACAATCCTGTCGCGACACGAGTCGGCGATGACGTTTTACCGCATTTTACACGTCTCTTTTAGCGTCTTAATACGAATACAGTCGCAATTTTTTCGCTACGATATACGAATCCGCATTATATGAACCCGCACTATACGAAGGTCTACTGTAGTTTTCTTCCATGATCTATTTCTCAAATTGATTTTCTATTAAGATTATTTATTAATCAGAACTTGACACTTCTGATCAATAAATAATCTTAATTTAGTGTCTATGCTTTTAATAATTTATACATATAATTTACTATCATTTTAATACTTTTTTTCGATGAATTAGATACTTCTTTTTATTTTTCGATAAATTTGCTATATAATTTTATCAATTATAAATAAAATTTTTTTTATTAGTACAGTATTGACTTGACACGAAAAGAAATGGCATCTACTCGTGGTCGTAAAAATTCGTTGCCTTCTCAAACAACGTCTTTCAGCTCTTTCTAACTCTTCTATAGCAATAAGAATTGCGTATCCGTCAGCCATTTTCACTTTTGTGTAGCGATCTCACATGCTCCACTCAACGTGAGTAGCAACTCACATAATGAAAAAAAAAACCACGTGGGTTAGAACTCGAAACTTCCAATTTTACGTCAGAGTGTGAGATGGTACCACGTGACACCTTCCACACGTTGGGAGTTGTACGTATTACGTATGATCAAATTGATGAAACTACTTCATGACGTGTAAAATAATGTTCTGTTTTAAAATATTTGTTCAAAATATTACAAGTATGATTGAATTTCTAATTATAAACGATTTTATGAGCTATCAAACATTTTTATTCTTTGGTTGTAAATTTTTTGTTACATACCTGATAATTGTTACGTTTATCAGTATGAGTTTTATAATGGCGTTTTAGTTGCACTTTCCATTTAAAACCCTTATTACAAATATCGCATTTGAAAGGACGTTCTTCGCTATGACTATTTTGATGGTATTTTAGTTTATATTTTTGTTTAAAACCTTTATTACAAATATCGCATTTAAAAAAAAGTTCTTCACTATGAGTATTTTGATGGTTTTGTAGATTTATTTTCCATTTATAACCTTTATTACAAATATTGCATTTGAAAGGACGTTCTTCACTATGAATATTTTGATGGTTTTGTAGATGTATTTTCCATTTAAAACCCTTATTACAAATATCGCATTTGAAAGGACGTTCTTCGCTATGACTATTTTGATGGTATTTTAGTTTATATTTTTGTTTAAAACCTTTATTACAAATATCGCATTTAAAAAAAAGTTCTTCACTATGAGTATTTTGATGGTTTTGTAGATTTATTTTCCATTTATAACCTTTATTACAAATATTGCATTTGAAAGGACGTTCTTCACTATGAATATTTTGATGCCTTTTTAAATCACGTTTCCGTTTAAATCCCTTATTACAAATATCGCAGTTGAAAGGACGTTCTTCACTATGAGTTTCTTGATGGCTTTTTAGTTGACCTTTCTGTTTAAAACACTTATAACAAATATCGCATTTGAAAGGAGGTTCTTCATTATGTTGTGCTCCATGACTTAATAATAGGGATTTCCACTTAAATTCTTTTCCACATATTTTGCAGGCGTAAACTTTGTGTATTCTCTTCTGTTTCTCTAAACAGCTTTTACCATATTCAACGCACTTACCACAAATGTCGTTTTTCCTCTTGATATTAGATTTTTTACCATTTCTTACAGATGAGTTCACTCGATTTCCAGATGGCTGCAAGCATAAATTCATATGAAAAATTTTATTTTTATTTCCAGTTTGGTGTTTTTTCATGTGTCTTCGCAAAAGAAATTGCCACAAAAACTTCTCATTGCAGGTTATGCAGCAAAATGGCTTTTTTCTGATATGACAGAACAAATGTGTTTCTAATATTTTCATATTTATAAACGTCTGTTTATATAATTCACACGTAAATTCTTGTTTAGAATGAAATGCGAACATCATCTTGAAATATTTTTTTTTAATGTTATCATGAATTTTATTCCATTTTCTACTCGAAGGGACGTATCTCTTTGTTCTGATGTTATATTTAAAACGTTTTTCTTTTTCTGATTTCTGCTGAATATCGAATTCCTGAATGTGCTCTTCCTCCTGGACTGAAAGTTTAAAAAATAAAACATAATGAAGTACCTATTATATTTCAATAAACAACATAGTTTCAGTGTTAAAAAAGTGTTGTAGCATTAAAATTGGTAAAGTATACATATGTTTTTCATATAAAAGCAAAGCATCATTTGTTGTCTGCACTAAAAAATAAAACATTTTACATTTACAATCATAAACTGAATGATTCAGTTTTAGTTTCTTTAGCAGACCTTCAGATAAGTGTGTAAAATTGTTTTACTTTACTTGTTTTTGTTTATATTATTTGTGTAGTTTTTTCCAGTGGTTATCATAGAAACGTGAAAGAAATTGTATGCTTTTAGAGAGAAAAAGAAATCATTAGAATAAAAAAAAAAATTCCTGCAGCAAAAGTCTATGGATTATATCAATGAATAAAAAGGCAAAATCACAGGATTTTTGTGATTTTTTTAAAATCAAAATACCATTATTTTGGTGTATGTCCAGTTGATCTGTACAACGTTATCAAGAATATTAGCTACATCTTTTTTCACAAGTTGCTAACATATAGAGGAAAAGGTGGTATTATGGAACCACCCCATTTCGAACTGATAATAAAGGCGAACTGTAGCGAATTGTGGCTAAACTGAACTAGGCAGACATCCATAGCAAGGGGAAAACCCCTTGCTAGGGATGTCTGCCTAGTTTAACTGAAATAAAACGGTTGTCCCTATTTAATCAGCAAATTTGTTTTTTTTTTTCAAAATTCGCAAGTTTTGAATGCTAAGTGAATTTAATCATTTTTAAAATATAAATCGTGTAGTCGTAGGTTCACTGGTGCATGTATTTCGTTCCAGAGACTTACGGGTATATATATTCATCTGTATGATGTTCACGTTTTTTAAATTTCAGTCTTGACAGACATAAGTTAATTCAAGATGGCGATGCGTGAAATACGGACCCCATTGGTGCTTTTACAGTAATGTGGAACCCAAGTCCTCCGAACTCTCTCTTTGCAAGTTCGGAGGAATTTGTAAAAAAAATCACTACGTAGAAAGCCAATTCTTCCTGAGAATATAAAAAAAAAGCTGCTGGAATATACACTCACTGCCAAAAGTTAAGCACAAAGCAGAAAATGTTCATGTCTGGAAAGCAATTGGCATTTGAAAGGCTGCAATTCACTGGAGACGTAGGTGGAAGTATGCAAATATGTTACGTTACTGTCAATCATGATTATGTGTTGCGAAATATGCAAAACAAGCAGTCGTATAAGAAGCCAGCCTTCTGAAGTGTGAGAGGAGTTGCATGTAAGTGGCGAGAAAAAGTGTGGAGAACTGTTGAACAATTACTAGAAAAAGTGTGGAGAACTGTTGTACAATTACTGTGCATGACTGTCATGTTTCTATAGCTTCCAGTAGACGAATGATAGACAGTGAGCACTGGCGGTGTGTGGGACGCCTTAAAGCTGGACAATCAATCACAGATGTTGCTGTTTTCTTTGGTGTTCATCATTCCGTCATTTCACAATTATGGAAACAATTCTAAACAAGCCAAACAGTTGTCCAAAGACCTGTGGTCTGTTGCCCAAGGGTTATGATCTCCCGCAGAAGATCTCTATATTGCTGTTGTAACCAAGCAGAATTAAAAACCAATTCTACACGTGTGACATCGATTGTTGCAGCAGCCATTGGTAAAACGATATCTGCTACTACTGTGTGCCGAAAACTACACTTGAACGGACTGTATGCCCGAGTACTCCGAGTTTGTGTTCCACTATCCGTCCAATCCAGAGGCACACGATTAAAATGGTGTTGGCAACATGTGAATTGGACTGTGTCTGATTGGGGCAACATTATGTTCACGGATGAGTCGCGATTTTCTTTGGAGCCAAATGACAAGCATGTAAGAGTATGGAGAAAAAAAGGCGCACGCAATCGTCCCCAGAACATCATCGAGTATCACGCATTTCGAGGTGGAAGCATTATGGTGTGGGCAGGCATTTCGTTGGGATATCGCACCGACCTGCACATCTATCGAGGGGGTTCTGTGATGGCTGTCCGGTATCGGGATGAAGTCCTCGAACCCATTGTGAAATTGTACGCTGCAGCAGTTGGTCCTGTTTTCGTTTTAATGGATAATAACGCACGACCCCATAGAGCTGCCCTCGTCGACGACTACCACGAGTGAGGGAATCACGCATATGAATTGGCCAGCATACTCGCCAGACCTCAATCCCATTGATAATCTTTGGGATGTCCTTGGCCGTGCTGTGTGTGCACGTTTCCCACCCCCTGCCACTCTCAGAGTTGCAAACTGCTCTACAGGAGGAATGGCACTTATTTGACTCTGGAGTGGTTGATCACTTCATGGAAAGCATGGTTACACGTTGTAAACTTTGTGTAAGGATGAGGAGTGACCATTTATCCTATTAATGTCAGTTTTGTTTATTTGTTTTGGATTTAAACATTGTTTTGTTAGTGATTCCAATATGATTTCATCTTATACTTTATGAAAATTTAATATTGTTTTCATTTTTCTATGTAATTCTTTGTGTTGTTTAATGCATAAACATATTTGCTACTTACCTGCCGCATTTCGTGTCAATTATAGTTGTATTTATCGATTTTTTTGCAGTTTACCGCTCCGTGCTTAACTTTTGGCAGTGAGTGTATATTGTTAATAAAATTATATTTTTCTACTATAAAAGTATTTTTTCGATAAAATACATTGGAGTAAATAATTATTTAACATTTTTTGTATTTTCCTATTTGTTTTAAACTACATTAAAAAATTTTTTGAAAATATACAGTAAGGTTTTATATTACCACCCGATTTTCTCTAAGCTTACTTTCTGAGTTTTTGTACAAAAGCCTCAAAAACCATACTTATAGTTACACTAGCGAAAAATCCAATTGGGAACATTTAGTTTAATAGTTATCAGTACTTTTCGAACAAATAATGTAAATATAGTTATTATACCTTGTTTACAATTCACTAAAATGTAATTGAGGTTCCATAATTCCACCTCCTCCTCTACTTATTTATGTCATTAAATAAGTTATATAGTCTTCGTTTACTTCGTTTTAGTACATTTTCTTTATATACAAATACTTAATAATTCTGATTATCCCAAGAGATTTTTATTAATTTCAAAAGTTATATTATTACGTTGCAGAAGGTTACGTATAATTCTAAAACATCTGATCCCAGTTAAATGTTTGACAATTGAATCTTAAATGTAGTTCTTCAGCTGCTCTCTAAATAATACTAACATAAAAAGTCTGAACTAAGTAACATGTTACTTACTTTGGATGTTCATTTCATCCCTGTTAAAGTTTTCGTCCGGAGGGCAGAATTCATTGTTGACAAGCTAAAAAATATGAAAGCAATACATGACAATCACGAATAATCATTTATAATATATAAACAAGTATTTAGTTGCTCAACTTTCCCGGCAAAGTTTTAAAATTTTGATGGCGCTGTCTGTAATGAAACGTTTTTTTAAATAATATATGATCTTTTTAACTATTATAGAAAGGAAAATAATTGAATTTTGAGCGTGGGTATGAGTTTAATATAAAAAAGTTAAATATGTATAATGAGTAAAATTACGATTAAGTCCGACCCTACTAAAAATACAAATGACCCCCCATTATTTCCCCATCCTTTTGATTTTTAACCGGAAAAATTTAATAGCTTTAATTTCCCTAATAATCAACCTTTCCAGCAAAATTTCAGAAATTTTCGACAAAAAGAGCAGGAGTTATTAAGTTTCGAACAGGATGAAAAAAATCGTGCACCCTCACACACTAACATCGATACAAACAGATAAAACCCATGAGTTTTTGCATTTTCGACGTTTGAAGGTGTTCTAAGTTTAAAAATGTAAATATCTTGACGAGTCATTTTTTCACCGATCGCAATGCTTTTCCCATTATATATAATAGTAGGATAAGTAATATGAATGTCATTACAAACTTATACATTACAAATCAGTATTCTGTGATTTTATATATGAGCTACATATTAGAAAATTGCATTAAAGTTAATTATGTTTTGAAAATTTTATACAAATTACTTAGTCTTTTGGGGAAATTAACAAAATAACAAGCGAGACTATTCACTTTTTATCTTGTACATTGATAAAAACATTACTAATGAAGTACACTGATTTTACTACAGATCTATGTTATTTATAAAGTAATTTAGCCCAGTGAAAACCAAAAGAGTAGTTCTGTAAGGAAAGATCTTTTACACCTATTAAATTTCACAATTCGTTCTAAAACCGTTTTGCTCATTTTATTACATTACAGAGGTTGCAGCCGAAGTTCAAACTTTAAACTTGTACGGCAAGCAGAAATACACGTTTGACGTTTCAACTCCAAATAAAACACGTTGCGCCAACGTCGAGCACTGATTCATGCGATATTGTTGAAAAATGGCGGAAATATTTAAGAACGGCGAAAGTTACCAAAAAAACGTAAAAGTAACAAATTACATTATTTTTATATATTTAGAAAATATTTAGCGTCGTGTCTCCTGCCGTACGATATAATAGTACGACAATTTGCCTGTTCTCATGACATACTTTTCTTGAGGGAAGTACTGTACTGGCTTATATAAATCCGAAAGCAGCTGGAAAATTAGTTTTAGAAATTTACAAACGTAATGCTGTTGATGGAAGATGATGCCGTGCAAGAAAATCCTACTTCTACAGTATTGCGATAAGCTATTATCAACACAAATATATATAAATTCAATAGGCACTTCAATCACATAACTTGCAAAAAAATTGAATAATTATATAATTTATGAATTAAAATCGTCTGTTTCGTTACAATGTCGTTCACAAATGCTTAAATAATCATTATTTTAACAAAATACGTCGTAAATTCAACCCAAACACAAAGAAAACGAGAACGTTTAAGCCGAACTTCTTGCCACGTTTGACGTTTAAAACGCCATTGTCCTGAATCATTATGCTAAACATTATATTATAGTAGCTGCAAGGACCCGCTTCGCTGGGCAAGAAGTAACGATAGTGAAGATTAAGATAATTACATTATAGCCAATCTTACCCGTTTTCACAGAATGCAAGAATTAGGTCCCCCGTTTCCAGACTAATTAGAGA